ATCACAGTACAGCAGCTTTGTGGAGCTGAATAGGCCAAAGTCCGTAATGATCACCTTGCCATTCTCTATAAAAATGTTCTTGGTGCGCAGATCCTTGTGTATTATGTCCCTGGCATGCAAATAGCCCATGCCCTGGGCAATCTGTTGGGCAATCAACAACGTGCGATTCATTGCAAACTTCTCCCTTCGCTGATGTATATAGGTGTACAGGGTGTTGCCCTTGCATAGTGCCGTGACAATGGCCAAATACGGCGGATTCATGCAGGCGCCCATGAACAGCACCAGATTCTCGTGTCGCGTCTTCTTGAAATTGGCCACCTCGTTGCGAAACGATTCCAGCATGTGCTCGTCCTGCAGATAGTCTTCATTGAGCAGCTTCACAGCGACATCGCCATGCCACAGTGCCCGATGCACGGTGCCAAATCGACCCTGTCCAATGCGCTCCAGCAAGTGCAAATCGCCATAGGGTATATCCCATTCCTTCAATGATATGGAGTTCTGCCGCCACTGGCCCGAGTCGCCATCCTCTGTGGAGTCCAAACGCACAGGCGTGCGATCCGAGTCAGTGCTCGCGCTGCCCGACAACGAAACCGTCTTGTCGCTATCATTCGACTTGTGCGTGTCCGTATATTCGCTGGTAAAGGGCACCCGCTTGTCCACGCCAGCATTGCTCAATTTCCGCGGAAAGAAACTGCCGCTGTTCACCAGACTGGAGGTGTAGGTGGCCGAGCTGCTGCCACTGACATTCGACACTTGCGAGGTAGCCGAATGCGTGGACACTTGACTTCCAGTCAGCGAGTGCAGGTGACAATTGGAGCAGCTGCTGCTGCTGCTGCTATTGTTGTTGGCGCTGCTCCCGTTGTTGGAGCTGCTGTTGTTATTGCCATTGGTCAGCGTGGATTCCGTTGTGGCCATATGCGCTTGCGGCTCATTGGATATGAGCGTTTGCGCAGCGCTGGCGTTACTATTGCAGGCATTGATGCTTGTGATGGTCACGTTGGGGAAATTGAATTGACTCTGTTGACCCTGTTGTGCTGCTGCTGCTGCTACCGCTGCTGTTGCTGGTTTCGGCTGGCAGGCGCTGGGCGTGGCCAGTTGCAGTTGCTGCTGCTGGAACAAAGCTGGACTGCTGGGTGTTGAGCTGGTGCAGCTCGAGCTTGGTGAGCTGCTGTCCCCGTGCTGCAGCTGTGGCTGCTGCAATTGCGGTTTGCCCAGCGTGCTCTTCCTGGGCACTGGTGATGCCTTGCTGCTGCTGTGCTGCGCAGGGTCCCATCTGCCGCCCACCTGAGTTTGACGAAACTCGTGAACATATTCGGGTGGAAGGCCACACGAGGGCGGCACATGCGGCGCACAGGACTTGTGGCAAATATATTTGCAGTCGGTGCACTTGAACCAGTGGCTCATCATCTGCTTTTGGCACAGTTTGCACGTGGCCATGAAGCCAAACCATTTACTGAAACGGTGCTTAATGGTATGACCCATGCCCACGTGTGCCACACCTGGCGAGGGCGGCACTAGTAGTACATTGGAGCTGTTGATACTGCCACCGTCCACAAAAATGTCCGAACTGCTGGCCGAGCTGTGGCTATCCGGGCTAGGATCTGTGGGTAGACGGCTGCGCGGTGGCCGTGGAGGCTGCTCCGCGAGTGCCGTCTCCGAAGCGCTGCTGTTGTGCATGAGCAGCGTTTGATGCTTCTTGGCTGGTGGTGGCGTTCCCGCCGCTGTTGTGGTACTGCGGCTGCGCTGCGGAGTGCCGCTGGCGGATGCCGTCCCTGAGGCGGGCGTAAAGGGCGAGTTGGGTGGCGAGGGCGTCAGTGTTAAGGTCAACTGAGAACCAGTCAGTGGTTGCTGTTCGCTGCGGGAGCTTGAGGCAGAGTTGTTAACAATTTTCGGCTTGCTGTTCGCGTGTTGATGTTGATGTTGACGATGATGGGCGCGAGGTGAGGCGCTGCTTAGTCCTAGGCCAATATTGCCAATGCTGCCGCGGTGCATGTGATGCGGATGGGGTCGATCCCAGGAGTCCCAGTGCCATTGTTCCGGATCGACGTTGGACGCAACTGCGCCGCTGCTGTCCAGCGTTTCCATGCATTTTCGGAGATTATGCATCGCTTTGGTCAGCCGCCGCAGTTCCTCGTCCAGCTGGGTACTTGAATTGTGGGCAAGCAGTTGTTTCAGTTCTTCATCGCTTAGCTGCAGTGTTTGCTCCAATGTCGTTAGACGCGCTAGGCATGCATTCAGTGACTCTGGACTGAGTCCAACTACTCGCAGCCATTGGCGCAACTCGTTCCCGGTAGCCTGATGATGGGGCAGCAGCCCGTTGGCGGGTATGCGTTCGTTGAGTCTCGTTTTGGTCAAGAGCAGTTCGGAGAAATAGCGCACCAACTTGGACTCTAGGCAGCGGATCTCCTGTTGCGTCAACGTCGCGCTCGTTGCGCATTGTGTTCGCAGACCCTCCAGATGGTTGGCCGAGAGATCAATCATATCCTGTATGATGATTAGATTGCTTTCGCTCGCAGTCGTTGTTGTATTGTTGTTACTGCTGCTGCTGTTGCTGTTGCTGACTGGCGGCGCAGTCAGCTGGGCGGCGGCGCTGCTGCTCATTTTGTTGTGGCCCGCCCGCCCCTTCCAGCAGTACAAACTGATTGATTTTTTCAGACGCACTTACAAATCATTTGTTGTTTGCACCACTTTGACACACATTCTGTCCACATCAACCAGCTTTTTTCGCTTGCTGCAAGCACACATGAACAGTCCTGCGAAATGCGGACTTCGAGACAGCTTCTGCTATGAGAAAAACGCGAAAAATTTTATAGTTTTTGGGGGGCAGACAAAACGGGTGCCGTGTTGTCGCCTGCACGCACGAAATTTCTCTACACCCAAGTAGTAGAGCTGCGTAACTATCGTCGATTGTATCGAGGTTTTTTCGATTAAGTAAATTATCGATTAATTATCTTATCGCTATATATCGTATATACCGCATATAAGTTTGAATTGACTTTTTTTTAAATACTATTGAAACCATTTATTAGTATTTAAATCTTTGCTACATAAAATATATACACATTTATATTAATTCACAATTAATCAAACAAATTTGGTTTTGCAGGTACTTGATATAGCTTTAAAATGGCCAAATGATATTATTGCCAATGGAAACTACAAAATTGGTGGACTTGTCGTCAATACCACATTATTGGGTTCGCAGGCGATAGTAAATATTGGCTGTGGAATTAATTTAAACAATTCAAAACCGACGGTGTGTATTAATGACATGATAAATGAGTATAATGTGCGAATGCCTAATGCTAAATTGCCTTTACTCAAATACGAGCAATTTATTGCAATGATTTTTAATGAAATTGAAAAAATATTGGCTGAAGTGCAAAACGGAGATTTTGATACTTTCTACTCCTTGTATTATGAACTTTGGTTGCATAGGTAATATTATTAGCTTTAAAAAATGTGGAGATATTTTTAAAATACTTTATTTATTTTAGTGATCAAAACGTTACTATTTGCCTGCAAAATGATCAAGAAAAGGATGCCACAATTATTGGAATCGATGACTTTGGATTCTTAAAAGTAAAACTAGTGAATGGCACAATTGAAACTGTTCAGCCCGATGGAAACAGTTTTGATATGCTAAAAGGATTGATAGTACCTAAATACAATTAGCTTAATTATTAAAGGAGTTCTTATATAATACTAACTATTTATTCCTAACTATTTTTGTGTAAACTTATAGATATATATACATACTCGAACTAACAGTTTGGAATTTTAGAAGCATTTAGATATACTTGTTAATTATATCCAATTATATAATTTCAAATTTCTTCACTTAAAGTGAACATTGATTCGATGCTTATAATAACATATTGCATAATATTTGGATCATTAACACTGCCAATCTTCAACAGAATTCAAAATAATATTGTTCTATAACTGCATCAAAAACGTGAAATTGCCATTTAACCAAAATATATGTGTCTTAAATCTTGAAATCGTTATAATTGAAAAAATATTACCTTCCCAATATATATGTGTTTACCAATTACTGATTTAAATAAATTCATACAAAACCAAGCAGTCTATAATAATATAAATAAAAGTGTGCTGTTGACAATTTGGTATTTGCGGCAATATTGTGAATTTGGCATTATTTGGTATTTTTAATAACGCTGGTCACATTGCTGGCGAACAGGGTGGCCATTCTTATTTTTATAGGTGCATAGTTTTTACTTGCAGTGAACGAAACTACCAAACTAGACGATTTATATAAGCGCCCCGGTTAAAAGGCATAAAAATAATAAAATATGGCGCAACGTAATCATCGCGTAGATCGTTTTGCGCAAATGAGCAAGCAGGAGGAGATAATTGCCAAAAAGCGCCAGGAAATACTTGAGAAACAGCGCACGGCGCAGCTGGCTAAGGCGGTGGCAGCTGCTCAAACATTGGCTGCCCAATTGAAAACCATTGAGACGTCAACGTCAACGTCAACGACGACGCCAGTGGAGGAATTGGAAGAGCATGAGCAGGAGGAAGAGCAACCGCCACTAACACAAGCTTCACCAGCAGCAACGGCGCCAGCCGAAGAGGGAAACGGTTTGGAAATAGATAACGGTGATCTAACGGGGTCAGCTGCAAGAGCTAAAAACGACGATGGTACGTCCAAAACGCTCAACAGTTTTACTGGCAAGACGGGCAAAATTACGTTTAGCCTGAAACGGCAACAGCTGCCACAGCCCAGTGTTGAACAGCCGCCACCCAAAGTGAAAAATACGTTTTGTAATGACGGTTCCTTTCTGGAGAACTTTAAGAAAATCCTTGAAAAACACGAACAACCCAAGCCGCCCATTATGGTGGCGCCCGTGCCAATGCCAAGGTAAGCAAATTTTATTTTCGTGTGCAGTGAAAGTCCTTAACACTCAGTCCCCACACAGCACTGAGGAAAACAGCGCAGGGGATACTCACACCACCGAGAACAACAGTCCACAACAGACGGTGGATCTGGCGGCTAGCACGATAGCGACGAGTGCTGCGGCAGTGATAGCTACTTCCATGGCTGGCAGCATTACAGTATCCAGCGCAGGGCACAATCATTTAACGTTTACCATGCCAGTGACGGCAACAGCGATGCCGCAGGCTGTGCAACCACCGCCACCGCCGCCGTTTGCATTCAACCCAACGCTTTTGGCACAGGGGCCGCCTCAAATGACAATGCCGGCCTTCTTCCATGGACACCATCATTTGCCTATGCAACTACATCCCGCTGCAGTGGCACCGCCGCCGCCACCACCACCTCCGCCACAGCTGCCCATGTCGTTGGCTAATTTGACGCCAATTTATATGCAATTAGGACCAGCACAGATGCCGCCCGAAACAGCTATGCATCAATTGAACGCCATACCGGCACCCAAAGACTTTGACCTGAATGCTATACCAAAACCGCAGATTAATCTGGAAGCCATACAGATGCCTAATGTAACTCAGGCGGAGCAGCTGGGTTTGCTGCCAGAGCATGTGACGATTAATCCACCTCCACCGCCTCCGCCTCCTATGCAATCAGAGGAGCAAGCATCACATCAGCCGCAGTCACAGCCCCAGCATCACCAGAATCTGCAGATGCTGCAGCAGATGCAGCTGCAAGTGCAGCCATCGACACCTCCTGCCGAAGGTGTGTATTGTTAGTTTGGCAATTGCCTTTGTCTGTTCTGTTCTGCCAAAAACCCTTAGTAACCCATCCAATAACCTATATCCTTGATCCTTCATCCTACCATTCAAATTGAAAACTTCCTACATCTCAATTATTTTCATTTTATATATATTACAAATCGTTGTGCACGATTTTAAAGCAATTTGTGTAGTTTTTTCAGAAACGTGCATACAATTGCCAACGTGCATAGAAAACCTTATCGCACTGGTCGCCGAAAATGGTGAAGATTACGAAGATAAAATACGTTTGCATAGAAGCGAACTGCATCCGGCCTTGTGGTAAATCAGCTGCACATTATCATGCGCAGGGCACTTTAACTATTAAGTGGTGGACAGCAATTAGAAAATTACCAGAAAGATCAGGTATTTTCGGTTTCCCGAAGATTTAATACCCTTGCAGACCTCAACACATAGCTTCAATCTTCGGCTGATCGTTCCTATGGGCAAAGTTATTTAATATTCCGATATTCCTTGTGGCAGCTCTAACAGGTTTATATTTTGGTGATTCAGTCCGATCGACAAACAAGTAATTTGGGAGACTAGTTTTCATAGTTTAACGGATGACAAAACGAACACTGCTTCATTGACTGACCTCTTTATATATGTATGGTCGGAGATGTCTGCTTTACAGATTTCGTGTTTAAATAAAAACACCCTCTGCAAGGGTATAGAATTAACTAATAGGTTCACGGTCGCTTAAACGTACGGAAGAGGACATACTTACGACTAATGAATTAGCTTCCGAATTTAAATATTATTCTTAGTGCTCTGAAGTTTATCTTGTGCAATCGATTCTGTAGGAGCTATTCGGTATAGAAGTAGTAGTCTGGGTGGTGCTGGCCCATGGCATCGAACTCCACGGATTTGTCTAGATTGAGGCTAAATATGTTAGAGATTAGGGCGCACGCATCACACACATATCACACACTGGCCGTATGTTGCCGTCGCCTTTCAACTGGAGGAGTAAGCTGAAGGATTCTATAAAAGCACACTACTAAATGGGCGCCAAAAAAAAAAAAGAAACAAACAGTTACTCAACTCATATAATGTCTTTGTATACTGAATGCAATTGGGCATTTTTCATTGTAAGTTTCACTTCTTCTTTAAAATTTTAAAATAGGTTTCTTTATGATAAGAACTGCGAGCAATATCGAAGCTATCGCTCACAACTGCTCGATTACGAACGCCAGCGCGGCGAGCGAAAGCTTGAGCGGGAGCGGGAGCAGCAGCTAAGCAAGATACAGCAGCAACAACAACAACATCAACACCAGCAGCAGCAGCAGCAGCAGGAAGATCACAGTAACTCAGCAGCGGACAAATACGATCCGGAATCGGCAATTAGCGCCGATTTTGATTCAGATGATGAGTATATGCGCAGCATGATGGATCGCAATCGCGACAATATTAAGCGACGAATCGAGTGCCGCAACGAGCTGAGCGACGAGGAGCGTCGAGAGCGCGAAGAGGAGGCCGCAATGGCAACTACCGGTGATCCGCACGAGCTGCACCAGGACGATAGAGAGACCCAGCGGCAGCGCCGCAAGCGAGAGCGCAAAAGTCGCTGGGGCGAGAAGGAGCAGCTGCCAAGCGGTTCAGGTAAGTGAAAAGATCAAGATTGAATTAACATTAAATTTATATTCATGTTGTACGATCAACTCTAGGCACACCGACCAGCTTTGGAAACCAGAATAAGCCCATGCTAAGCACAGTCACACGAAACGATCCGGCATTGCTGCAGTACGCACGTCTTAATTATGGATCCACTCAATTGTCGGAGGACCAATGGAAGCAGTGCGAAGAGCACTACAAAGTCAATTTGTTGTACCAGGACATGATGCGCAAGCGCCAGGAGATCGATCGCTTGGCACGAGGCGGAAAGTTTAAATACGAGTACGACTCTGATGAGGACATTGAGGGCGGCACCTGGGAGCACAAGCTGCGTACTGCTGAAATGGAGGCCACACACTTGTGGGCCAATGCGCTAACCAAGCAGAGCGAGGGCAAGCATCACATTGGTGATTTTCTGCCCCCTGAGGAACTGAAAAAGTTCATGGAGCAGTACGAGGCAAAGAAAAACAATAGGCAGCCGGATTTAAGTGATTACAAGGAGTACAAACTAAAAGAAGATAACATTGGCTTCCAAATGCTACAAAAGCTCGGCTGGAAAGAGGGCCAGGGATTAGGCCAAGACGGTGCCGGCATTGTGGATCCCGTTAATAAGTAAGTGAAGAGAAATTGTTCTCAAATTAAAATAATAGCTGCTAAAGCTCGATTAGTTTGCCTTGAATACGAACAGAGCTAAGATCAATCTCTAAGATGTCTTGTTATTTATGAAAACTTTTATTTGCAGAGCGCCACAGCGTGATGGCAACCAGGGCCTGGGCGTTGGCAGCGCCGCTCAGCCAGAGGATTGCGACAATGAGTATGATGCGTATCGCAAGCGCATGATGTTGGCCTATCGCTTTCGACCCAATCCGCTGGTGAGTTTTTGATTGTGTTTACATGCTCGAGAGACTGTTTAAAAATATGATTTTCTCTTGCAGAACAATCCACGTCGCGCCTATTACTAATTCACAAATTGCTAACCACAACGCATAAAAGTTATAACTGATGCTTTATATTTTGTAAGATTCACTTTCTGGACCCGTTCATATTCTAATCACCCTCATATACACGAATTATAAAGTTCTTATTTATATATAAGTAGTACGTTGACCGCTGACCACAATGAAGATTTGCTGAAGTTCTTTAAACTGGATTAGATACCACAAATTGTAGTTGTGTTTATTATTATGATTCATTATATTTAGACAATATTCATATACGCAGTAGTGTTCGTAATCAACTTAAAAGCTATGGCTATAATGTACGCTCTAAGGACTATCAAGTTGTGTTTGGGGATTGTGTTTTAGGAGTTGTTTCGTATTTTATATAAAAAGTACATATTCCGTAGGTGGCTGGCTACGCGGAACTTGAACGCCTAAACGCTAATAATACTAAGTTGTACTCGAACTGGAAACGTTGGCTTGGCCTTAAGAGTAGAGTGTCAGCACCGGCGTCTGGTTGCCGCGTGCCAGCGCCACGGGGCACTTGATATCTGACGTTAGCATTTCCAGCCACGACATGTACAGCGGCGCCGAAATTGCCTCCTGCAATTGAGATAATGATATATGATGTATGTAGGGATAAAGTTGGGAATATATTTAGTCTGTGTACAAACCTTGCGCGGCATAGGCAGGGACATGACCACCAGCGAGGCGTTCGATGAGTGCTTGACGACCAGCTCGTGGATGCGAAGCTGGCGCTGCGTCTTCTCCGCCATGCTGTGCAGCTCCTCGTCGGTGATGCCAAATTCGTTGCGGGGACTGCGACGGAAGGGCTCGATGAGCCGTTTGTGCTTGAGCATCGTATCATGACGTGGCTGATCCTGGACGCCCTTGAGCATAATAAGCTCTGAGTATTTGATGCGGAATTTGGTCAGCAAACTGGCCATGCTGTAAACCAAAAGTAATACCATATATATTTAAATTTGTTGAAGCATTTGCATTTGTGTGGCCCAACTTACCTCTTCTCCTCCTGCTCTTCGTCCCTGCCATGGCACATGGTAAAAACGCGCAGCTTGCAATTCTGCCAATGCGAACGCATTGAGATGATGTAGGGCAGCAAAATAGTCAGACCTGACAATTGGCAAACACATTCATCAAAGTCCAAACAAGCTAAATAATATTGTTGGACTTACCGCCGTCATCGTACAGCCAGAAGACATCAATGGTGCCCTTGGCCTGCTTGCGTGTAAATATGGTCATCGCGTCCAGTATAGTCTTTGGCACCTCGGAGCCACCTTTGGTGTGGTAGGTAATGGCGGCGGCGTCGCTATTGTTGACCTTGTAACTGCGGGCACCGCGCTGCATGTTGGGCATGGGCGCCTGTTGTGGCATGGTGAACGAGGCATTGGGACTGGGACTATCCATGCTGGCCAGGTTCAAGTTCGAATCGATGTGCAGCAGCTCGGAGGCAGCATTCGCTGCGGGCAACAACTCGTTGGCAAAGCCTTGCGCGTTGGCCGTCTGCAAGTGGCCCAAATTACCTTCGGGCATTGTCACCTCGGGCGTTAGCTCCGAGAAGTCCAGGCCGTTGGGCAGCCGCAGCAATGCCACGCCCATGCGCTGTGAAAAGGCGTTGCTGCAAGTGAGAGAGTAGATAGGATTCAAGCATCATATTTATGTGTTTGGTTTCTTACTGCAAAATCGCAAAGTAGCTCTCCACCTCCTCCTTGCGGCAACTGTTCCAGTCCGGCTTATAGCCCACGAGCACAATGTTGGGCGACATTTTGCCAAAGCCCGTGGTCTTGATCAATGCATTGATGCCATCCTCGATGCTAAAGCCGTCAATCACATTGTAAAACGCTTTGATTTTGCGCGCGTCCAAATACTTTTGGCCATCCTTCAGCAGATTCAGGCGATTCTTATAGCCAACACGCACCTAAAATATATATTCCATCGATTAACCAAATGATATAGACATGATGTAGACGGACACCTACCGGTATTATGTTGCCCACAAACATGAGCGAGTTGTTCTTGGTCAACAGATAGCCAAAGTCGACGAGCGGCGGGCGTGTCTTTGGATCTCCGGCGAGTACCAGCACTTGGGGATGATAGTTCTTGACATGATCCGAGACGTTCTGCAAACGATGCACAGCCATTAAGGCGGCCTTGTACTGCTGCGCCTGCGTTGTGGAGCCCCAGTTGGCATCCGGCTTGCGGTACATGACCACCAGATAGAGCGCAAAGATGATGCCAAAGGTGAGAATTGCGGCCACATAATTGATAAGGAACATGATGGCCACGCACATGGCGAATCCGAACAGGCTTATCCAGGCGTTGTAGTACTTGAAGGTGGGACGCCAGCCGAGGGGTTTGACGAAGGCCGCGTGAAATGTGCAGAAGTTGATGAGCGCATACGAGGCCAGGTAGAAGGTGGAGATGAGTGGCGCGATCAGATTCAGCTCGCCAATCAGCAGGAAGCTTGTCGAGATGAAGTAGGTGAGCACATAGCCGCGATAGGGCTCGCCATGTTTGCCGTAGGGCTTTGAGAAGTAAATGAGACCCGGATAGATCTGATCGATGCCCAGAGCCTGAACCAGTCGCGGCACAGACAACAGATTCGTTAGAGCCGTGCTCAGCGTGGCCGCAAAGCAGCCGGCATAGATGAGCGGCCCCCAGAGCGACATCAGCTGCATCATCTCGTAGGAGTTGAAAAGACCCCAGGTGCAACTGCCGTCGTGCATGCAGGGCAGCTCCGAGGGCACAATGGTGCCATTGATCAGGTCCTGGGGAAAGCCGGAGGCATCGCGGACTGCAGCGCCGCCCGCGAACAGCACAAACAATGCATAGGATGTCATGGAAATGAGTAGGGCCCAGAATGTGCCCTTCGGTATGGCAGCGCCGGCATCCTTGAGATCGCCGCAGATGTTGGCGCCCGCCTGGATGCCCGTCACGCTCGGAAAGAAAATGGCAAATACGCTGAAGAAGTCGTGGTTAACGCCCTCGGCGTAGCGATAGTCCGAGACAAAGTTCTCCTTAAAGGTGGACCCTGTTAAATGATTCAATTGGAGCACAGCGTTAGCAGCGAGTCCTTGCGGAGCTCATACCATGTCAACTCACAGGAGAAGCCCACAAATCC